TATCGATGCGTTGGTTTGGAAGACTTGTTCTCGCTTCTCTTTCGTCTTTTTTTTTTCTTTTTTTTTTCTGGCGGTGTTCGTGTTTTTCTTTTTCTATTTCTTTCTTTTTTTGTAGGTTTTATTCGTTGGTTCGTCTTCGATGGCGGGTCTTATTTTTAATTGGGGTGTTTTGCGGTACTTTTGGGGGTCATGGGAGGGTATTTTGATTTTTTTTTCTTTTACTTTTTTTCTTTTTTGTTGTCTTCACTTCTTTTCTTATCTTTTGTTGTCTTTCATTTCTTTTCTCTTTAATTTTTTTCTTTTCTTTCTTTTCTTATTTTCATTCTTTTCATATTTTCATTCTTTTCTTTCTCTTTCTCTCCTTTTCTCTTCTTTATTTTTCTTTTCTCTTTCTTTCTCCCCTTTTTTTATTATCCGGTTTCTTCCTAAGCCTAATCTCTCCCCCTTCGCGAGGAATCACTCGAGCAACAAGCCGGGCGGGGTTCGGTCACGGGCGGAGCGAGCGGAGGTGGGCGTGACAGCGCACTCGGTCGGCGGGATGGGAGGGGCGTGGGCGTCCGTGACAGAGAACTCGCCCGTCTCGTTTAAGGCGCCCACTCCGGTCCCCCCCCCTCTCACCCCCTCCCTCACCCCACGCCCTATACCCACCCCCTCCCTCACCCCCATACGCCCGCCCACCCCCTCCCTCACCCCACGCCCTTATACCCACCCCCACCCCCATACGCCCGCCCCCCCCTCCCTCACCCCACGCCCGCCCACCCCGCCCGCCCGAACCTGGTGGGGGCGTGATAAAGTGTTCCGGTGTTTGGAGGCGCGGGCGAGGGCTACTTTCATGCTGGTGCATATATGGAGTCTGGGGTTGGGTGGGAGTAGGGGGGGAGGGGAGGGGAGGGAGAAAGGAGATGAGGGAGAGGGAAGGGGGGGAGGGAGGGGGAAGATGGAGGGGGGGGTGAAAGGAGTTGAAATGAGGGAGGGGAAGGGGGGAGGGAGTAAGAAAGGAATGGGGATGGGGGAGAGGATTGTCGGGGAGGGGGACGGAGAGGAGAGGAGGGAGGGGGGGGAGAGAGAAAGGAGAGGTGTGTGTGAGAAGAGAAGGGAGGGGAGAAGGAAAGACATAGAGAGAGGGGGGGGTGGGGGAGGATGGGGACGTGAGGGAGGGAGGAAGAGTGTGGGGGAGAGGTGTCGGGAGGAGGTAGAGGGGTTGGGGAGGGAGGGGAGGCGCCTCTCCTTGTGTATATTGGATGAACCGAGAGGGCAGCCGAAGAGTAATAAAAAAAAATGGATGCTTCATGGAGTGGGATTTATCTCTCTCTCTCTCTCTCTCTCTCTCTCTCTCTCTCTCTCTCTCTCTCTCTCTCTCTCTCTCTCTCTCTCTCTCTCTCTCTCTCTCTCTCTCTCTCTCTCTCTCTCTCTCTCCTCTCTCTTCTCTCTCTCTCTCTCTCTCTCTCTGTCTTTCACTATTTTCCTGTTTCTTTGTATTTTTTTTTCTGGGTGTTTGGCATTCTTGTTCTCTTTATTCATTTTTTTTTTCCTGTTCCTCTCGTTTTTAATCATATCGGGTCTCATTAACGAGGTATATTTGGCGTACCTTGACCGTGTTGAACAGCGTCCAGAAATGCGAGAATTGTGAGTAAAATTGGAAGAGGAGGATAAAGAATAACAGGGAAATGGGAGATGGTTGTGTGTGTGTGTTTGTATTTGTATGTGTCTCATTTTCATTTCTCTCCTCTCCTCCCTCCCTTCCCCCCCCCTCTCTCTCTCCTCTCTTTCCTTTTGCGTTTGTTTGTCGGGTATCGTTGAGAAGCGGAGGAGGTGACGCAGGTGGAGCATGTCACCGGGGCACGACAGGCTCCACCCCTGCCACGGCGGCCGGTCAACCACCCCCCTCCTCCTCCTCCTCCTCCTGGTCTCGAGACGGAGGCACTTGGCGAACGATAGTCAGAGTGCACGTTTAATCACGCTGGGTCGGTTGGATTGCTTTTTCTTTTTCTTCTTCTTCTTCTTCTTCTTCTTCTTCTTTTGGCGAGTAAAATTGTAAGTAAGGTTGGAAGAGGAGGATAAAGGAAAGTGGGAGAGGA